GACATGTTCGTACGAACCCTTTGTACGAACAAAAGTAGGAGAAATTTAGGATAAGAATACGAACATGTTCTTGCATTGCCCATTGACTAGACAAGTAAGAAATACTAATTGGAGAAATAGAAGAAAATATCTGTTGAACTCCAGATAAAACAGATAAATATGCGTTTATAAGAACTGCTGTGCTGTCTTTATTTTGAGAAAAACTGGTGTCATTACTTTAAATTGCCTTTTTAGTCATTTTTATGACCAGTCTGCATTTGTAAAATGTCACAAACATAACAAACCTCACAGTGTATTTTATATAAATGACAAATTATTCACTTTAGGTTTAAAATAATAGTACTTTACTCCTACTCTGAAGTGCTTAAAACTGTCCAAACAATTTTTGTTTTCAGATCATTTTTATAGTAATGTTTTTTTTTCTCGTTGGCTGTGAACCCACAGATAAAGAGTCAACATCAGTTTTCAGACACGGTACCTCTAAAGCCCCCTTTTCATATAGCATCAAGCCTATTTTTCTCAAGCAGTTTCTCACCCGTAGCTCCATCTTATGCCAGGGCTGTTTCTTAGGATTGATGCTGTAAATCTTTTTTTGTTTGGCCATTTCCACGTACGCTTCATGACCCTGTCGGAAGTAGTACACCTGCAATAGAAAACCAACATGCAGCAGATCATTAAAGTTGTACATGTTTTACTGTAGTGCTGCTAAAAGATCTCTGGAAGTGGGAATCTGTGCAACTTCTTTAAAAACACGTTTGCCACAAAAATAACCCATGAGTCAATTTAATGTTTTGTGTTGAGAGTTTTAAATCCTAATTAGACCTCTGGATTTAGACTTTTAGCCATTTTGAAATGTTAAATTACAGCTTTAGAGCACACATGGTGCTGAAACTGATGCTGCGAACCTCGTCTCCCATCTGAGGTATGTAAGGACATCTCCGAGGAACTGTGTCTGTGATCCAGGCAGAGGGAAGCCATTCCTCCAGAGTCAGACCCTGTTCCTGAAACTCAGTCCTCTGAGAGAAACAAAACAGAAACTTTTTATCTTTAACTTGAAAACATCTGTAATCAGCTGGAAAATATTATATTTTAGTATTTTTAAGTCTCTCTTAATGCTGTGGAGAATAACTGAATCCAATAATTACTACACTGTTGAAAATACAAATACTGATTTGAACAAACCTTCCTCTTCTCCTTTGGTTTTGTCTTCTTTGGTGGCGAACCATCTTTGTCAGGTTTGTCTTTCTTCTTCTCTTTCTTCCCTTCCCTCTTCTTCTCTCCATCCTCCTCAGAGCTGCTGTTCTTCTTCTTCACTTTGACGCTCTTCTTGGGCGGCTCCAGGTTGATCCCTGCGTCCGCTGTCCAGTCCGAGTAATCGCTGGAGTAATCACTGATTAAAGATAAAACAATAATAATTTCATAGACCAGTGGAAACTGACACTGCTTTGTGATGGTGAGGTCAACTGGACTCACACACCTTCTAGTGGGTGTGGCCTATCACCTGTCAATCACCTGAACCCTAAATTTCAAAAACATCAATGAAATCTTTCTGTTGTGTTTGAGCTGTAAAAATAACATTTAAATGGATTCTGTGTTTTTGCTGCTCTAGATTTTATCAAAATGTGAAACAACTTTGTTGTAAATGTTAAATAGGGTTTAGCCCATTTAAACCAGCCATCCCTGGCCTCCATCAAAAATTCAGGTGAGACCAGAGGTCAAGGTTTGAGCCCGAACTGTGTGTCACCAAGAACGTCTCACTTTAGACAATCAGAGCCGTGGAGGTGCTTTCAGAGGAAACTAGAGTCTGATTCAAAGAGCGAGGCGAGCAGTCAGCTGTGGAGTGGAGGACTGAGGAAGGAACACGAGCAACAGACAGGAAGGCAGGCAGACGGGAATCTGAGACGGTGCCAGAAGCCTCGTTACTAGTCGTACTTCCTTTGGACAGTCAAGTTTCATCATCCTCCCAGTGATCCATCAGAGTCCTGCCAGAGTCAATCTGAGGACCTCATTAAACCGCTCAATCAGTCAGTGGAGCTGCACCGTGCTCAATCTTCTTTTAAGCAACAGAATGTTCCCCTGACGATTTGGACATCCTGCTTCCAAGCACAAGACAACTCTTTGTTTAATTTAGTGGAAACGGTCTTGTTTTTAAAACCATACTAGCTGTGTGAGACGTGGAGGACACCCTGCTCTAAAAACAGGAGTGGCTCTACAGTAAAACCTACAGTTCATAAGATAAGACAGTGACTGTCACTGTTGCGTTCACTGACCTCAGCTGGTTGGATTTCTTCAGCACTTGTGTTTGTCTCACTGTCAGGTTTGATACTGTAGGTTTTCTCATTAAGTTAATTGGGTAATTTAAAGCAGCGTTTCCCAAAGTTGGGGTCGGGACCCAAAGTGGGGTCCCGAAACATCAAGGTGGGGTCCTGAAAAGATTTTCTGAATTAATTACATTTTTGCCTTAGTTGTTACAAAGGAGTGAGGTTAGTGTATTTAAAACGGATAAATGTAGTATATAAAAATGTTGTTGCTATGCCCATGTTTAGTTGACCTGATACAAATGTTTATCATCCAAAAATATCTGGGGGCTCAGGTCTCTGCTACTGTTATTTTGTGGGTCAGAAGATAAAAAGTTTGGGAACCACTGCTTTAAAGGTTAGAAATAGATGTTAATGTTTGTAAAATGTTGGCGAGTTTTTGCATTGTGTAGYTTTAAATAAACTTTGTAAACGCTTCACACCCTGTGGAAATTACAGAAGTATCTGAACTAAAAAAAGCACTAAAACAGAACTGAAACRGAGTTAGCTGTACTGTAATTATGTTCTATTCTGACCAGAGCATGCTCATCCAGGAGCATGCTTTGATGTGTATTTAGAAAAAAATACAACAAATATAAAAACCTACCTTGAACTACTGTGGTCATCTGGCCACGGCTCCTTTTCCTCCTCCTCTTTTTCTTCCTCTGAGGAGTATCCGTTGATTTGCCGTACCTCCACCTCGCCCTGAAAACACAAATAGTATTCTGTATCGGTACAACCAYGATGGAATAGATGACAGATGAATTCCAAAACTCTAAACACAGCGTGAAGTTAAAAACAAAGCAACGTGAACATTACATCAACCTCTGAGGCACTATCGTCCTCATCAGCAGCCTCGGCGCTCTGACGGCTCGTCTCCTCCATGGCAGCTCGGGTTTGATAGCCGTGGTTTCCCTGACTCTTCCTCCCCTCCTCAGCCACACACTCTGACGTGGGGTGAACCTGAAGCAGAGAAAGGAGAGGCGAGTGTAACGACAGGTTTGAAGCGCCTTGGATAAAACTGTTCAGAGAGGCGTTCCCTTCTGTACCCTGCTCTCTTTGGGCAGTGAGTGGATTGTACGCCTCCTTCTTTCTGACTGATAGATGTTGATCTCCTCCTCCCCTTTAGCCTCACGCCAGTTCACCTGCCTCCTGCACACAGATCACCAGGGTTACTGGAAAAATCATGACTTAAAAGAAAAAGTGGCCTTTCTGAGTTTCAGTAGAGCTTTAAAGTTTGATTTTTGCAGGAGGATTACCTGACAAAGGCCCCCTCCAGCTCAGGAACGAGCACCCTGCGGCTCCAGGCCACCAGGTCTCCCTCGGTGGCCATCTGGCTGCGGGGGGCGTTGCTGTGCATCTGTCGAACACCTTCTATCTGCCCGCTGCGCCGCAAACCAACGTTGGGGGGAGAGTGCACCTCTGTGGGTGAACCCACTGATCCTGAAGAAACGTCAAAGACAGAAAGACTTTTTTTTTTCAAACAGTCTCTGTGTCGACAGCGTTAAAAAAATATGCTGGTTTTAGAGGAACGTAGTTGTTTAATGATAAAAATCTGTTGTCTTCAGCCAAACATAAACAGGAAATATGGTAAAGTCTCAAAAACAAGTGAAAAAAGAAACAGTCAGACAATTCAGTATAAGTTCATTTGAACCTTACACCATAAAAGGCGKGCAATCGTGTATTTGTCTGTGTTCATGTGTTTATCTGTCTGTTAGTAAAATATCTCATGAATCAGTCAACACATTTTATTATATCTATACAGTAACTAAAAAGTTGACCTGATTCAAGCATGGCTGCCACRGCTAATCAAGCTTAGCAAACACAGACACTGATGTAATGAACACTAAATGACTGCTCAAGATCTTTGTGTTGAACTTTGGCAACAACTGATGAAACAAATCCTGATGACAACTCATTTAAGGGGACCTATTATGCAAAATTCACTTTTTAAAGGTTTTTTTTACTCAACTTTGGGTATGTACTTCTTAAAAAAC